GAAAGCTGGAATATTTTAAAAGTCTTTTAATCAATGCAATTATTAGCAGACTATAGATTGCCAACCAACAAAATGATTTAAATACATAATGCAGTGCTTTCATTTCAGTATTTTTTTTTTTTTTTTTTTTTGAGATAGAATCTCACACTATCACCCAGACTGGAGTGCAGAGGTGTGATCTTGGCCCACTGCAACCTTCACTTCCCAGGTTCAAATGATTCTCATGCCTCAGCCTCCTGAGAGTTCCATTTCAGTATATTTTGGACCAGTTATGTTTATGTAACATTTAAGATTTAAACTTTATACTACATGGAATACTTGAGTAAACCATAATTTAAATCTTTTTGCTATAGTCATAACTCAGAAGCCTCTGAAACAGAGTGAACTTCAAAGGAAATAAAAGATATTAACTGATGATCATCTTTTTCCTTGTCTTTTTCAAGCCTCTCTATTATGACTGATTCCTGGTTTTGGTTTCATTAGTTTTTTTGTTTATTTATTTTTTTTTTTTTTGAGACAGAGTTTCACTCTTTTTGCCCAGGCTGGAGTGCAATGGCGCGATCTCGGCTCACCGCAACCTCCGCCTCCCGGGTTCAAGCGATTCTCCTGCCTCAGCCTCCCAAGTAGCTGGGATTACAGGCATGTGCCACCACCCTGGCTAATTTTGTATTTTTAGTAGAGACGGGGTTTCTCCATGTTGGTCAGGCTGGTCTTGAACTCCCGACCTCAGGTGATACACCTGCCTCGGCCTCCCAAAGTGCTGGGATTACAAGCGTGAGCCACCGCGCCCGGCCTTCATTAGTTTTTTTTAATAAAAATCTAAACAGGGTGTGGTGGCTCACGCCTGTAATCCCAGCACTTTGGGAGACCAAGGCAGGTGGATCACTTGAGGTCAGGAGTTCGAGACTAGCCTGGCCAACATGGGGAAACCCCGTATCTACTAAAAATACAAAAATTAGCTGGGTATGATGGCGGGCACCTGTAATTGCAGCTACACTGGAGGCTGAGGCAGGAGAATCGCTTGAACCTAGGAGGCAGAGGTTACAGTGAACTGAGATCGTGCCAGTGTACTCCAGCTTGGGTGACGGAGCAAGACTCCATCTCTAAAGAAAAGAATCCAGCCCCCTGTCCCTTTATTGTATTACCCTGTTTTATAGTAGCATATCACTGTCTGAAATTTCCTTGTTTATTTTAGCTCCATGAGACTAGAATCTTATTTCTTTGGATTTCCCAAGACCTAGAACAGGGTCTAGTACATAGTTGGTGTTCAGTAATGGACCACATCACAGACAAAACAAAAGTAGGACTCTACAAGAGAAAGGTACATAACATAGCACTTGGAATCTAGGAATAGGCAAGGTAAGACTCAGCTTTTGCTTATTTTGGCAGTGTTGGTGTGGGTGATTCAAGCTGATTAATTTTGTATAGAAATTTTTCTCTAGGAACTCAATTAAAAATAAAACTTTTGTCCAGACGTATGATATATACTAAATAAATTCTGTCCGCCTTATAGAGCTAGAAAATGGAAACAAACGTGAGAAAATATTTCCGTGGTCAGTTTTTGACTAGTCAGTCTCATGTATTTGGGAAAACAGAGGTTATGGGATTTACTAAAAGTCATTTGTATGCCATTGGTGGAATGGAGAGGAGGACTGCCAACTCCTAATATCCAGTGTGTTTTTTGACTTATGATCCATGAATGAACATCACTTTGTAGCAGACATGGGCACTTTGATATAAGCAGCACTTGGCTGATGCTGGTTTGTGTTATCTGTGAGTAGAGATCAAACATTCTCTTATAGTAAATTAGGTGACTTAATTCCTAATTTTTGAAAGCCAACATGATAAATGTGCGATGGGTTTTGTTTTTACTCAGTTATTCCTATGCTTGTTCTTGAGTAGTGTTTTAAAATGTGAATGAAAGTCTGTTTATTTTTAATTAATTTTTTTTTTTTTTTTGAGACGAAGTCTTGCTCTGTCACCCAGGCTGGAGTGCGATGGGGCGATCTCGGTTCACTGCAAGCTCCGCCTCCCGGGTTCACACCTTTCTCCTGCCTCAGCCTCCCGAGTAGCTGGGACTACAGGTGCCCGCCACTACGCCCGGCTAATTTTTTTGTATTTTTAGTAGAGACGGAGTTTCACCGTGTTAGCCAGGATGGTCTCGATCTCCTGACCTCGTGATCCGCCAGTCTCGGCCTCCCAAAGTACTGGGATTACAGGCGTGAGCTACCGCACCCGGCCGAAACTCTGTTTAGTTAGGAAACTTGAACATTATTTATCTTTACAAAACATATTTCCACTTAGTGGTTATTCTTTAGAAAAAAATGTTGGATTAATATAATTCTTTGTGATGGCTATGAGGGACTTTTCTTAAAACTGTGACTATTACGTGTTTAAATTAACAAGACTTTAAAAAATGATTCTTACTATAGTGCTGTCTTTATTACTACAAGTTTTCTTTCTCCCTATATATTTTTATGAAAATCAGCCACGAAATTCAATGTAGCCCAGATATTTTGGTTGTCAGAAATTGAAAATCTTAAATAGGTGTTTTAGTAGTAAAAGGACCCATAGCATCTTATTATGTCATGCATAGTAATGGCTTGACTGCCATTTTGTTATTTGTGTCAGGTCTACCCTTGGAATGACAGTAAACTCCAGAGCATAGAAAACTGCGGCAGCTGTGCCAGTGAAATGGGAGAAATAATTTCTGTTTCTTCTGCTTATGTGAGAGATGACAGTAACACCCTACCAGCAATTAAAATCTGAACGGCTTTTCCTGGTTGTCCAGGGACAAATTGTAGGTCACATCATCATGCCTGTATCTATAGATAGAACAATTTATGTTGTGATGGGGCAAGACTTCTTTCATTGTTGTTGTCGTCGTCGTCGTCGTCGTTGTTGTTTCAGACAGAGTCTTGCTCTGTCACCCAGGCTGTAGTGCAGTGGCACAATCTTGGCTCACTGCAACCTCCACCTCCCAGGTTCAAGCGATCCTCCCACCTGAGCCTCCCGAGTAGCTGGGACTACAGATGAGCACCACCACGCCCAGCTAAGGTTTTTTTTTTTTTTTTTTTTTTTTTTTGTATTTTTTTTTTTTTTGTATTTTTAGTAGACATGAGCTTTCACCAGGTTGGCCAGGCTGGTCTGGAACTCCTGACCTCAAGTGATTCGCCCACCTTGGCCTCCCAAAGTGCTGGGATTCAGGCGTGAGCCACTGCGCCTAGCCTAAGACTTCTTTTTAAAGTGATATTTCTATTTTAGGTACCCCAAATCTGAGGTTAATGAATCTAGGAATTCCCCTCCTTCTGTTTATAGGGATGCTCCTGAAACTGAAGACAACCAAGTGAGTGGAAAGGCTTTCAGAAAATCCCTTGCTGCTGCTGTAACAAATTACAACAAACTTAATGGCTTTAAATGACACAGATTTATTCTTCTAAATTTCGTGATGTCTGACATGGGACTAAAATCAAGATGTCGGCAAAGCTGCGTTCCTTCTGGAGGCTGTAGGAGAGTAACTGTTACCTTGATTTATCTAGCTGCTTCCTTCCTTTTTTTTTTTTTTTTGCGACGGAGTCTCACTCTGTTACCCAGGCTAGAGTGCAGGTGCGATCTCAGCTCGTGGCAACCTCTGCCTCCTGGGTTCAAGTGATTCTCCTGCCTCAGCCTCCAGAGTAGCTGGGACTACAGGCACGCGCCACCATGCCCAGCTAATTTTTGTATTTTTAGTAGAGGTAGAGTCTCACTATGTTGGCCAGGCTGCTCTCAAAGTCCTGACCTCAAGTGAGCCACTCGCCTATGCCTCCCAAAGTGCTGAGATTACAAGCATAAGCCACCATGCCCGGCCCTCTTCCTCCATTTTCAAAGTCAGCAGTCTTGAAATCTCTGAGTCTGATCCTTCCCACCAAAAGGATGATGAGGATCCTTGTGATTATGTTGAGTCCACCTGAATAGTGTAGGATAATCTCTCCATTGCAGCATTGTGTTTGCTGCCATTCCTATGTTCATTTAGCAGCTTTCATCCCTCACATACTAGGGGACGGGGATACAGCAGTGAGCAAGCTGTAGAAGTACACAGTACCTTTGTTAGCACGGAAGTAGTTTTATTTTGTTTTTCTTTCCATGACTGAAGGCACTACTACACTTTGCTTTGGAAACTAAAGATTAATCTGAACTTCAGTTATCAGTACACATTTGACAATTCTCTAAGCACTGAAGTTACTCAAAGACACCTAAATATCTCATGACATTCCAAAATAAATTGATTTTATATTGAGCACAGGTTTTGCATTAGTCTATAAATGATACAAAAAAGGAAGTCGTTTTATTAGAGTTTCAGATTCTCATTATGTGTTATGTTCTACAGTGATGATGTTGTGACAGTTTCTCTTATGCTGTTCATAGTGAATGTAGGTTTTGTGTACTGATACAAAAGACAAAGCTTCATGTCATAATATCCCCACTGTTTAGGAAAATATGAATCACAATATGTTGTCAATTGTTTATATCTGCTTGTAGAATTATTATTAGATTCATGGTACAGCACATCATATTTAATGTGGTTATGTAAATATTTAAAGTTTCTTGAAAAAAATTCTCATCAAGTTGTGACTCTTGGATGATGTATTTACACTCTGTATTTTGAGCACTTAATAAAATAGCATCTAATTTAAATTTTCTAATGAAAAGATTACTTGCTAAAATTAAAAAAAATTATATACTAAACTTTTTAAAAAGTTTAGAAATAATTGGGGCAAAATTTTTTTGTGTTTTCCTCTGAGTGACGTTATGTTTATGAGGCCTTTCTTAGGAAGGGAAAAACAAATCTGTATACTCAGTTCAAAATCCATGCCATTAAAAAACAGCCTGTGATATTTCAATAATACTAGTTACTTAATGGTATTAGCACATATTAAGCTATTTAAATTGTTAATCCAATCTTGTGCCCCCCCCCCCACCGCCTCCCCTCGCCTTACTGTAATACTCTATTCTGTTTTGGATTGATTTGTTTATTGATAATGTGCCAGGCACTATAGTTGGCTCTGGGAGTTCAAGGATGAACTAGTTTCATGTTCTCAAACTTTCAGTCTGTCCGTATTCTCTGGCATCTAAGTTGTTTTTATTTCCTGGAATTTTATAGTGTGCTTTCATTAAATACTTATAATTTGGTTTTGCAACATATCAAGAAAAGCCCTTCTAAAAATCTAGATCATTTGAAACCTGTGATACTAAGAAGCCAAGAAGGTTCTCAATGGAAGTCTTTAGGTACTGGTTTATAGTAGGTCTTTGGAAAGGAGCCCCTCTCTCTTCCACTGCAGGTTAGAACTTGTTCCCTAGGCCAAAAATGCCAGAGGTCCCCTGCATCCTCTCGCCCCGTCGTCACACCCCCAGCTTCTCAACCCTGGATATTTTCCTTTGTCATCCAGGACACTTGTCCCTTTCTGTCAGTAGGGATCAGAAAACAAGGATTTGTTCTCTGATACCCAGGACTTGACATCATGCAGGCACTCAGTGTGAAATGAATAAATGCATCTCATGAAGGGCGATTTCCAAGCCTCATCTCCAGCACTTTCCTTTTATTGCCTTTCTGTCTCCGTCTCTTCCACATGGTGATGTAAGCTGTATGACTGCAGGGACCTTGTCTGAATTTTCATCCTTATAACTTTAGTGCTTAGCTCAGTGTCTGGTCAATAGGTACTCAATAAATATTTGTTTTATTAGAGAAGCCTGTGTAGGTTGGGGTGGGGACAACTGGCTGTAACTTTTGGTCACCTTCCCATTGCTGCCGCAGCAGAGTGGAAGGGAAGGAAGTATTCACTTGAACCTCAGCACAACCTTGTCTCAGCATTCAGAGGACAATTAAACAGCAGCTGGTGTCTAGAATTTCTGTAATAAAGTATTTTACTATTCTTTCTTACACAAATGTTTTGAGGTCACATTCACTTATACACACACCCTTCCTGTATGTCAGGATGGCCTGTAGAATGTGTTTAGTGCTCTGATCGAGTATAGTAGGATGCCATGCCAGCAGAAGGGAATATGCATTCTGGCTTCAGAGGGTGTGTGGTATGTGGGGATGTTCTGGAAAAGCTTCTTTGAGTATTTTCACACCTCTGAATAGAATCTTTAAGGTTGAGTGGGAGATAAGAGAGGAAAAGCTAGGATGGTGGAGGGCAAGATGGGTAGGCCAAAGCAGCAGGAGAGGTGGCCGGACAAAGAAGCAGGGGCCACATTATGAAGGGCCTTTGGATTTTATGCTGAGGCATGAGGAGCCATGGAATGTTACTAAATTTAAATGGTTTGGGGTTTTGTTTTTAAGCATTGTCAATGTTGTAGAGGGTGGATTGGAGGTAGACAGGGTTGGAAGTAAGAATAGCTAAGAAGATGTTGTTCTAATGCAGATGAGAAATGGTAAGACACAGCCAATGAACACAGCAAGAATCGGGCAGATCCAGAAGAAAGTTGGAAGGTAGAACTGAGCTTGAATTTATGCATTGCGGCTATCTTCTCCCAGTCTTGGGATTTATCTTTCCACTTGTGTTGTCTTTTGTGATACAGCTTTTAAAATTAACATCGTTGATTTCATTAATCATTTCCTTTATGTTGTATACTTGTTATATATTTAAGAAATCATTTCCCAACCTGAGTTCAGAAAGATGTCCTGTTCATATTTTTGTTTTTTCTTAAAAGTTTTAAAGTTTTACTGTGTATACGAGCTCTTTAATCCACCTGGGGTTGATACATTACGTGGTGAGTATCTAAATTTTTTTCTCAATGGATAAGCAGTTGTCCCAGGACCATTCTTTGAATCTTCTATCCTTTTCTGGCTACTCTGCAGTGCTGCTTCTGTTGTATGTCACGTTCCCATAGAATGGTTCTGTGCCTAGGATCTTATTCTGTTTCATTGTCCATCTTTTTCTAGTACCTCACCTTTTAATTACTATAGCTTAATGATAAGAATAAAGGTTTTTATTTTAAGCACATTTAACATGTGTACAAATCAGTAATTCTTTAGGTATTGGAGACTTTATTGTTGAGAAACATACATAAATGCCTTGTTGATTTTTTTAGAGCACTTTTTTGTTGAGATGTGATTTATGTTGCATAAAATTCACCCTTTTAAAGTATACAATTCAGTGATCTTTAGTATGTTCACAAGGTTGTGCAGTCATCACTACTGTCTAATTCCAGAACATTCCATCACCCCAAAAAGAGACCCTGTATGCATTAGCAGTCACCCTCCATTCCTTCCCTCCTCCCGAATCCTAACAATCACCAATCATCTTTCTGTCTATATGGATTTGCCTCTTCTGGACATTTCATGTAAATGGAATTATATGGCATGTGGCTTGATTCTTATTTAAATTGAGTAAATTTGATAGATTAGCAGGGTATTATATAGGAATATTACTGTGTGTTTAAGAAAATAGGACAATTCAGGTGCATTAGTGTGTACCTTTAGTCCCAGCTGCTCAGAAGGCTGAGGCATGAGGATCACTTGAGCCCAGGAGTTCAAGGCCTCAGGGCACTATGATCCCATATATGAACGGCCACTGCACTCCAGCCTGGGCAATATAGTGAGACCCCAAAAAAGAAAGACAAAAATACTATATCTCAGTGAGGAGAAAGAAGAGAAAATCACCAATATTTATTTGTTTTATTTTTATTGTTCAAGTGTCAAATGTAATTTATTTCTGGCTGGGAGCAGTGCCTACAAGCCCAGCACTTTGGGAGGTCAAGGCAGGCGGATTGCTTGAGGCCAGGAGTTGGAGACCAGTCTGGCCAACACGGTGAAACCCTGTCTGTGCTAAAAATACCAAAATTAGGCTGGGCGTGGTGGCTCACACCTGTAATCCTAGCACTTTGGGAGTCTGAGGCGGGTGGATCACTTGAAGTCAGGAGTTCGAAACCAGCCTGGCCAACATGGTGAAACCCCGTCTCTACTAATAATACAAAAATTAGCCGGGCTTGGTGGTGCGTGCCTGTAATTCCAGCTACTCAGGAGGCTGAGGCAGGAGAATTACTTAAACTTGGGAGGCGGAGGTTGCAGTGAGCTAAGATCGCACTGCTGCACTGCAGCCTGGGTGACAGAGTGAGACTCTGTCTCAAAAAAAAAAAAATTATTTCTCCTTCATTTATTGAAAAGAGTGGTCCTTCTTATGCTTTTGCTTAGTTGTTTAATGACTAAATGTCATATAGCAAATCCTGTTCTGGAAGGGTAACTTTGGTCGATACATCTTGAGTTTATTATATATAGATGGAGCTAGACTACTTTGTTTTGGATGCATGTTGTTAGTAATTATACAAAAATGACATGATTTGCTCCATGTATTGGAGGAAAGTGAGTAAAATTACGTGAAAATATAAAGGGAATGTATTTTTCCCAAATTGTTTATTTTTTAAGCAAGCAGATTTTCCAGTTTAACCAAGAAATTAGTCAGCAGCTTAGAGTTCTTTCTAAGGCTACCACGGAAAGTACCTTTAAGTCAAGATATACAGATAAGGTTTACTAATATAGAACATTTGTTTTACATACTAAAATGCTGTAAGCCCTTTGTGTCATTTGGAGAATTGATGTTTTATTAGTATAACTGCTGAAAAGTAGTACAGGAAAATGTTTTCCCTTAAATCATAGCCTTAAGCTTTGAAAGAGTCAGCCTCAACCAGAATGGTAGTAAACTTCTTTCAATGATTCAGAGTTTGACCAGCAGTCTTTTCAAACCTCATAATTTTGACATCCTCAAGTGTTCGTTAAAAAAGCTGTAGGAGAACTAAAAATGTGTTAAGTGCTTATAGAATTAATATATAATGGCCTTTGAATCTGAGAAGTCCAAGTATATGCATTACCATGAGAATTTAAGAAATTGTTTGGACTGGCACAGTGGCTCATGGCTGTAATCCCAGCCAAAGTGGGAGGATTACTTGAGTTCAGGAGTTCAAGACCAGCCTGGGCAACATGGTAAAACCCTGTCTCTACAACAAATTTTAAAAATTAGCCGGGCATGGTGGCGCATGCCTATAGTCCCAGCTACTTGGGAGGCTGAGGTGGGAGAATCACCTGAGCCCAGGAAATTGAGGCTGCCATGAGCTGTGATTGTGCCACTGCATTCCAGTCTCAGTAACAGAGTGAGACCCTGCCTCAAAAAAAAAAAAAAAAAAAAAAAAAAAAAAAAAAATCGTTTGAGAGGAAATGCCCACATTTTAGTCAGAAATAATTTGCATTTTACTATTGTGGTTCAAACTTTTTTGGATAACTGTAACTGCCAACTGTATAACACTTGGATGCCACTAAAAGCACTGTGTTTTGTTTGTGGGTGAAATAGATCTATTTTACCCTCAAAGGATAAAATAATCTAAAGACAAATGGAACAATCACTTGCATTCATAATTTCATTTTTATTTCCTTGACAAAACATTTTCAAGCAGGATCCATTTTGTTTGAAAGTTAACGTTGAGTTGTATAGTCACTGTACCAAATTTGGTTATTGCTTTTGTCTGTAGTGAGGGCTAGATTAGATTCTATCGATTGTACCTGCTTTTAGTGAATAAAAGATAAACATTTTTGTTCATTTCCTTTTTAGTACCATAGGGGCGTGGTCAAGTTCTTAGAACCAGGTGGTTAGGTTTTACTTTTTGTTTCCTCCAGAAGTCCACACCGCCATCTCTGCTTTTTCTTGTGTACGTGTAGGGTAAGGGTGAAGTTAAAATGTGATTAGAAAGGACTCATGGCTTGAAAAGGAAGAATATTGATTTTTAATGTAATTTGTGTCCGGTCCAGACAGTAGAAATTGACTTTTGCTTCTGTTCATACTTCATAGCAGTTTGGTTTTGCTGATTTTTAAAGGTATGTGTTTGGGTCCTTTAAAAATATGTATGTATTACTTCAAAAAGGGATGAGGGGCTTACAGTTTCACAATAAATAGCATTAAAACATACCTCCATTATTTTTAAACAATACACATTTGTTACTATATTACTAAAAATTTTTAAATTATGAAAACCCAAATGGGCAATACCAGAATTTATAAGTTGTAGTCAAAGGGTCACTCTGATCCTATACTTAGATTAAAATATTAGTAGAACACAGAACCAGAAAGAATGGAGTCTTTTTTAAAAACTGACGTTAGAGGATTTTAGCATCTTCCTATAGTTATGCATTTTTTCTTCATAGAGTTTCTGGTTTCACCCTACCAAACCCATGTACTGAAAATAATGGAGCATGTTAAAAAAAATTAACTGTTCCTTTCCCCCCATTTTCTTCTTGGTGTCAATTTGGGGAAAAAAATGTAAAACAAGAATCTCCCTTGATGCTGTCCCTGTCACTCAGAGATCTTTATATTCTGTGATCAAATGTGAGTCACATTCAGAAGATGTTTTTAGAGGGGCTTTGTGTGTATGTACATATTAAATTGATTTCAAAGACAAGATCCAAATACAGGATCACTGAAACATTAAGTGATCATTCAGTTAGAAATTAGTATATGAATATATTTGATAGCTTTCTCTTTATACTTCACAGAATCTATGGTTAAGCTTGTCTTTATGTACTGCATTTCAATCTTTTGATTTTAAAACAAAATAACACTCTAGTTTTTTAACATTATGTATCTTAAAATTTTTTTTAAATAATATTTTTGCTGCATAAATTGCCAAACATGCCAGGTTTTCAAGAACCAGCATATTTGGTTCGTTACTGTAGACTGTCTGCATGCACTCCATTCTTGTTACTATGGAAACACATTGAGTGTGGATTTATCATAAACCTTGAGAAATACTCTGTGCAACAGTTCACATAAAGAAACATCTGGATCCCTTGTTTATCCTGGGGTAAAGGAAGACCACCCTCTTCCTCTGTGTTGTGAAAATCATAGTGTATTCCACTATTTTTTTCTAGCTGTAAAAATTCTAATGTACATCTATCAAGTATACTTTGTTTTATAGTATATGATTGATTATGTTTACTAGAACAGCTTTGGTAAATAGATTGATTTCCATACTGATTCAATTAACTACAACTATGATGATTGTATTTTGAGAGCTTCTACATTCTGAATTTCGGATCTACATTAATAAGGTTTTAAATAGATATATTCATATGGGTTTCTTTTTTTAAATATATCTTGGTCTTTGATTGGGTTTACACTCCCTCTGGAAGTTTATTTGACTTCATTCCAGTCTCTTGGAACTTTAAACCTTCATGAAAGTTAAGTCTAGAACTAAAGAGAATCTCAGTGGCATCTAAGTGAGCTAAGTTGTTAGTCTCATTTTACCAAGGATATTACCTGAGGAGATTGTAGCTGCTTTTATATTCTTTTACTACCTCCATGCAAAGACCCACAGCAGCTCTGTGAAGCATTTCATTTATATAAAATAACTTCTTTAAGTTTATGCAGTTTAGTTTGAAAGATTCATTGGAGCCTCTCCTCTGAGCCTTTGAGTTAGGTTTCAAGAGCATATATGTGAATAACA